TACCGACTTCCTCTCCCGGTGGCAACAAAGTGACAATCCCAAGCTCCACCCTTACAACCTACAGTTTAGCATCCCAAACAGAAAGAACAGAATCTTTTGATATCTCTGGCAAGAAATCAGTGCCTGTTAAATACCACTAAGAGTGGAATGTCATAGGGTTCATGGAAAAACTACCCTTTTCTTTCCCATCTGTGTCCCCTGAAACCCAGTCTGCAGACCCTTTTTTCCTGATCATGGATGAAATCTTGGGCAGATCATCATTCTCAGAAAAATAGCTGAAGTCCTTACAATGGCCTACAAAGCTCTCCTTACTTGATGTCCTCCCTGTGGTAGCCAGCCTCCAAGATGGCCCCCAACACACACACTTTATTTACATCTTTCTGCTCTCCTCCAGTCATTCAGCTCTGGTCCCAGAGGCTGCTTATTGTTCCTAGACTATACCAGGGGCACTCTTGCCTCAGGCCTTCACTCTTGCTATTCTCTATGCCTAGAATGCTTCTCCCCCAGACATCTACTTGGCTGAATCCAATATTTCCTTCTCATTAAAGCCTTTCCTGACCATCGTATTTACAACACTCCTTCCTCTCAACATTCCCTATTTCCCTTCCCTGATTTATTTTTCTTCATAGCATTTACACCATGTAACATACATTTTACTTATGTTATTGTCTGTCTTCCTCCACTGGACTGTAAGCTTCTTGAAGGCAGGGGTTCTACTTTGTTTACTGCAAATATTCCAAAAAGCTCCTAAGATAAGTAGGTTCTCAATAAATTATTTGTTAAATAAATGAAGTTATTTGTCTCTTCAGTTAGTAGCCTGCCAACTCCTTAAAGCCATATGTATCTTATTTGACATAGTGTTCCCAGACCTTGCATAAAATAAACATTAAATTAACTTTGCAGAATGTTAAACATGTGAATAACACATTCAGGTGTTTTTGAAAGATTGCTCTAGGGGAAATGAAGGAGGCATCACTGGTGTTTGCCCCAGTAGCTGACCCTCCCTCTATACTGTCCATAGGAAATTTCATACCCAGTGCTTATTACTACCTACATGCACAAGCCTGGCAAAGATATCTTCTCCTGGATACTTTCTCTGAGCTCCAGACTTATACATTCAATTTCATGCTTGACATCTGCAGTATAGCACAAAGGCACCTCAAACTCAGCATAATCTAAGTTGAACTGCTTTTCCTCTACTCTTGCCTTCTTCCAGTGTGACCTACATCTGACCAGTTGTATAAGTCACCCTTGACAATGCTTTCTTACGGCCAATATCCAGTCCATCACCAAGTCCCAACCTGCTGTCTCCCTGCAACCAATCTGACCCCACTGAAAACCATTCTACACAGTGCAGTCAATGATCTTTTTAAAAATGTACATCTCATCAGATCATATCCTCTACTTAAAATTCAGTAGCTTCCCATTGCTATCAAGATTAAAAAGAAATTGCATGGACTTCAGTGCTGCGTGGGCTGGTTTCTTCCTGCCTTCCCATATTCCCCTCATAACCACACAACCCCACTCTTTCTATCCCAGATGTATCCTAACCATCCAGACCCCAAAATGTCCTGAGAACTTCACACATGCTGATCCCTCAGCCTGTAGTAACATCCTTCTTTCCCCTTTACTCAGTTATCGCCTACCTCCCCCCTCTTCTAGGTTGCTCACACATCACTTCTCCAGTTGCCTTCCCTGACTAGATCAAATTCCTTTTATAAACCTCTCTCCTTGGTAGCACTTAACAGTTTTTATGTGATTATTTGGTCAGTGTTTCCCTCACTCTATGGTCCAGAAGAGCAGGCTGGGTCAGTTTTTACTCACCATTATAACCCTTGGTAGCATAGTGGTTAAGAGTTCAGCTGCTAACCAAAGTTCAGCAGTTTGAATCCACCAGGTGCCCCTGCGAAACCCTATGGGGCAGTTCTACTCTGTCCCATTGGGTCGCTATGAGTCGGAATCAACTTGACTGCAATGGGTTTTTTATAGCCCCACTGCTCAGCAAAGCAGGCACACAGTAGACACTTGGTAACTATTTGTAGAAAACATGAACAATGGAAAGAACGGGACAGCGTTTTAGGAAGTCATTTCAATACTCCAGGTAAGAACCAAGGAGTTTGCTGCACTAGGGCAGTGCCATAGGTTGGGGAGCACTTAAACAAGCTCTCAAGAAAATAATCAAGAGGGGCTTCCAGGTTGGTGAAGGCCATCAATGCACGTGGAAGGGTAGTGCGTTCCTTTTTGGAACACGGAAGATCACATTGGAAACCCTCCCAGACCTTGCCCTATGTGTCTCTTCTTTGTGCTGATCCTTATTTGTATCTTTTATAACAAAGCTGCAGTTGGAGAACTTTTGAAAAGAAATGAGTGTTCTGTGTCCAAACTCCATTCGGGAGTCACTGAGTGGTACAAATAGTAACTCACTTGGGTGCTATCCAGAAGGTTGGAGATTCAAGTCCACCCAAAGGTGCCTCAGAAGAAAAGGCTGGTGATCTACTTCCAAAGAATCAGCCATTGAAAGCCCTATGGAGCACAGCTTGACTCTGGCACACATGGGGTCGTCATGAGCTAGAACTGACATGACAACTGGTTTTAAATGCCATTCATCTAAGACCAGGGGAAGCAGGTACACCAACCAGCATCTTGAATCAAAAAAAGCAGCTCACTGTGAAGTGGACACGACCTTCTTCCAGCAGCTTTGCAATCTTTTCTCTGACAAGCTACTGGACCCTCCATGGAGAGGCAGGCTCAGCTTCTAGCTCAGCAATGGTGTGGGTGGTTGATTTATCTTGTATTCATTTAAGTCACAGGTCTTACATCCAATTTCATGTTTTCCAATCAATCCCATATCTTAAACATCACACATTTCACCAATCCCCCAATATCGCTAACATTGCATATAATAAAACAACCCTGTTATTGATAGTTTAGCATTAATATGGTTGTTGTTAGGTGCCATCGAGTCGGTTCTGACTCACAGTGACCCTATCTACAACAGAGCGAAACACTGCCCAGTCCTGCGCCATCCTCACAATCATTGCTATGTATGAGCCCATCGTCGCAGCCACTGTGTCAATCCATCTCGCTGAGTGTCCTCCTCTTTTTTGCTGACCGTCTACTTTACCAAGTATGATGTCCTCCAGGGACTGGTCCCTCCTGATAACAAGTGCAAAGCACATGAGATGAAGTCTCACCATCCTCACTTCTGTGGGGTTTCTGGCTGTAATTCTTCCAAGGCAGATTTGTTCATTCTTCTGGCAGCCCATGGTATATTCAACATTCTTCGCCAACACCATAATTCAAAGGCACTAGTTCGTCTCTGGTCTTCCTTATTCATTGTCCAGCTTTCACTTGCATATGAGGCGACTGAAAATACCACGGCTTGGGTCAGGCACACCTTAGTCCTCAAAGTGACATCTTTGCTTTTTAACACTTAAAAGAGGTCTTTTGCAGCACATTTGCCCGAAGTAATTGGTTTTCACTGATCAATTTTTTCAGAAGTAGACTGCCAGGTCCTTCTTCCTAGTCTCTTAGTCTGCAACCTCTGCTGAAATGTGTCCACCATGGGTGACCCTGCTGGTATTTGAAATACCGGTGGTATAGCTTCCAGCATCACAGGAATATACAAGCCACCACAGTCAGACAAGTGGTAGAGCATTAATATAATCCTACACATATCCCATGACACCATTTATACTAAAACGTTTAAAAATAAATCACCACAAATACAAAAAGTGCCTATGTGATGGGCATTGTTCTGGGGATTCACGAACAAATAAAGTTCATGCTTTAATAAAGAGAATGAAAACTCTTAAGCAAACCATTATTTCAAACACTTTCAAGAAATAATCTGTAAACTAGATTGAAATTGTAAAGATGTATTTTGACATGATTCTACTGGCAGTAGGGCCCACCTAAGTATCTGAAGTCCTGACACCTCATCTCCAGGTCAGAAGTAGAAAAAAGCCCCACATTACACTTTACTCTCATTATTCAGATTCCCTATTTGTCAATTTGCCTTTTATCTGTTACCCCAAAACCAGTATTTGTAGCTTTCAGTCATTTCTGGACATGCAAGAGTAGCAAACATCTGAGTGTCCCCAGCTTTTCTGTTCCCAGTTGAACAAGGTGATGTCCTGCCTTGTTTCAGCTCTGTCCAGTCCTTTCTCAAGGTCTATTTAGTGCCATGCTTCTCACACTTGTTTAACTTGCAGATTTTTTTAAACACTTGTGCTTTTTGCTGACTTCACTGTTTAAAATAGCCCCCCACATACTTCTTAACTGCTGTCTAGTGTTTTGAAGCACCAAGGCCATGACGTGCCTTGCAGAGAAAAATACGTGTTAGTGAAGCTTCGCTCAGGCATGGCTTATAATGCTATTGGCCGTAATGCAGTTAATAAATCAATACAGAATACTAAAAAAACAGCTGTCCAGTTCCAACAAGTAGATTCCAACTATGGTGACCCCATGTGCAGAGTAGAACTGTGCTCCATTGGGTTTTCTCTCAAGTGTTTTCTTAAAACATTTCTAGAATGATCAATGGGGCATGGAGGACATTAAGCAGAGACCCAACTCACCCAACTGAGGAGGAAACTAACAAAGAACATGGTAGCGGATTTAACTGATTAAAAAAAATTAAGAGTTCAGATTTGAAAGCACCTACAAGGCACCTGGCTGGAGATTTCTAATAGGCAGGGCTGATGCTCATACGTACAGACGACCGATGCTAATTAGAAAAAGGCAGCATCCTCTGAAGCAGAGGGCAGGTACAAGTGGTCCAACATCGAGCACCTCTGCACAAGAAAGGTGCTAGGCACTCAGGATTGCATTTACAAACTGCACACAAATATGTAAGCGACTGTCAGGAGAATTTTGTATTTTAATATATAAAGCTAGATATGAAATTGTGCTTCATTTATTCAAACATTGTTGACAGAAACTATCAAAGTCAGCATCATGTAAACAGACCATCTCTAAAAATAAATGAGACAGAGAAGCATAAGAGTCTACAATGTTTTTTATTCAATAAATTAAAAGTCCACTCCTAGATGTTTCTTTCTCTTGTATGGTGCATTTCTGTTTATTAGTAAGCAAAGCCCTATAAGGAGGCTTTGCCTAGTCCTCAGACTCAGATCCATCTTCGTCTTGACTAATCTGGAAATAACGAAGCTCGTAAGTCTCCTTGTCAGATGCAACCACACGAAGCCAATCGCGAAGATTGTTCTTCTTAAGGTATTTTTTGGTAAGGTATTTCAAATACCTTCAAAATAAAAACATGAATTTCATTAAGAAATGCAATCCCTACCAGGTAAAGGTTGACATACGAAGATACGTATTTTCATATCCATCTTTTGTATCACTATTCCCCTCCAAAATCTCTCACCTTTTCATTTATGCCAAACCTTGTGCAACACTGCTATTACAAAGTCCCTCAAACTTCAACTAAAATCAGTTTATGCCCTACCAAACGCTTTTATCGTCCTGTCTCCTAATCTTACATTGGAAACCACAATGTAGAAGAGCAATGGTTATCTTCCTCTTCATACTGATTACACAATTTAATTAGATGATATACACTTTCATTCTCCAAATACATTATGTAATTTCGCTGACCTGTCAAAGCTGCTTCCTCTGCCTCAAATATCTCATTCCACTGGCAAAACTATCCTTATGAAGTCTCAGCTTCTCTCCATGTCTCAGATCCTCGACAACAGAATATATCTTTTAATCTCTGAATTCTTAGTGTTAACCTCACAGCTAACATGTACTGTGCCACTATCTTAGTCCAAGCGACCATCTCTCACCTGAAACACTGCATTAGGTTCCTAAGTCTCCAGTTTCCAATGAGTTCACCACCTATCCTTTTCAGTCACAACATTCAATGGCTTCCCGTTACTTAAAGCCCAAATACCTCCCCATAACTTCTGAGGATACCCCTCCACACAACTGACCTCATCTCATCACTTCCCAAAATGCACTACACTCCAAGCACACTGGCCTCTTTGCTATTACTGTACTTGAACCTGCCAGGCTTCCTGTTCACTCTGTCTAGGAGTATTCCCTAGTTTGCATGGCTCACTCCTGCATTTCATTTGGGTTGAGGCCTTACCACAACCTTCTTTTATGCTTTTAAACAGCACTCATGTTGGACATTGTATTTCAATGTCTTTCTTCTCCACTAAAATTTAAGCTCCTGGTGACGGGTACTTTGATAATTCAATGCTGGGTTATCCAGTCCTACAACAGTACTGCCATGTAGTTAAGAACTCAGTATTTGAAAAAATTGAACTAAAACTAGAAGCAGAAAAATGTTAAAGGTTTGCCTCTGACTGGCTGCCTCTACTGAATAAACAATGGCCTTAAAATTTTTAAGAAAACCTTTGTATTAGTGAGTTGAAACATTTCTCCCATGCTGCACACCAGACATGTTTCTTGCAAATATACTAATGAACCCAAGGTTGTGAAAGTTATACACAACTTGGATAACAGGGCCAGTAATTCACTAGACAGGAAACCTTGCCTACATTCCAGCAAACTGACAATGAGTTGAAACAGATGGCATCCAAACTGAAAAACCCCGTTGCCATTGATTCTGACTCACAGTGACCCTATAGATGGCATCCAACTACAGAATAGATTTCCTTTCCTATAGGCCTTTAGTGTGTTCAAAGTACCTCTGATGTATTATACTGACCTCAACATCACATATTCTTACAGATAAACTGGGGGCCAAATGCTATGATCACATATTTTAGAAAATATCCTACAATGTCATAATTTCATTAAATTATGCAAAAACAAGTACTAACCTTTTAGAGAACTGTTTCTCAGAAACAACTGTAATTTTATTTTTGGAGCGTTCAATGTGAACAACATTTCCGAGATTTCCAGTTTTTCCATTGACTTTAACCTTCCCCCGAAGAAACTGTTCCTATTTTAAAACAGAAAAAAATGCAAAACTAGGGAAGAAAACCCTAGATATTCACTAGGGAAGGTACCCTAGGAATAGAGCTTAGGTTAAAACCAGATTATCGTATACTTAGATCATTATTAAGAACTCTACTATAATTACCAAAGCAAATAGAGTAATACTCACAAAATTTCCAGAATCAAAAATTCCATCTTCTACTGGATGAGTAAGGTCCAAATTAAACTTCCAGGTTGACCGCTTAGCCTTCTTGTCTTTCTGCTACAGAACACAGTTATAATTCCATGAAACACTTATTCACTTTAAACACAAAAATTTTAAATCTGTACCAGTGAAATCATGTACAACGTACTGTGAGATTATACACATATTTATGGAAATGATGCAAAATTCTAAAAAAAATTACCTTAAAATAAATCTGAAAGCCTTTTTAAAAAAAATCTGGCTGTATGAACAGAAGTACACAAAGTTTTCATGAATGCCAACAGTAATTTTCTTTTTTCACCATGCAAGTGTCTCAGAAGTACAAAACTCCAAAAAGCTAGAAGTGTACGGTAACTATTAGTTTTCTTCATCAAAATGATTTCTAAAAATCCAATTTTTACTGTAATTGGAAAAGATTAACGGAAGATCAATCTAATTCCTACCAAGTTTAGCCAAGTTAAAAAAAAAAATTACGATAAGCTGGAAGTTAAAGTTTTTCCACTTATTTAATTCAAAATATGTATACTTCAAGCAACTTCAAAATTCCTTTTCCCAACCATTCCATTCAGAGTGTTCCTAAAGGGAAGCTCACACAATTTTTTTCATACCTCTAATCTTGAACATTAAATTCCATAAAAACATCCCCTCCCCCAGGGGTTGATTTGAGCCTCTAATCATGCTAACCTCATTTGTTCAAAAACACTCTTTATGAGCTCACTGGTGTTCAACTGAAAAATGACCAGGTACTGTTTACTAAAGCTGCCACGGGCTCCTTTACTACTGTCATCTCCACTGCAGTATACCTCCTGGGTAGTACACAATCTAGCCCTCAGTTACATGCCTGAGCTAAGAGTTCACCTAGATTTATGCCAAGAGAATTCAATCCTTAAACTGTTACAGGTGGGGAAAACGGAGGGTGAAGTTTTATCTGGAAACTTTTTTTAAAAAAAATGTATGTCACTTAAATTTCCCATAGACAAAACACAAAGAGCACATAATAGGAGTACAAAAGTAAAGGCTGGTATGGCTGCTAACAATGCACATTCAGACAATGTAGTGAAAACAGGCAGGTCCATACTTATTAGAGGTTCATCTCCAAATGAGAACTACCCAAATAGAAATGAAGTATTAACACCAGAGTTTGTGTTCTCTGATAGACCAGTAACATGTACCAAAAAAAAAAAAACTGCCCCAAACCTGGGATTAGCAAAAGATGAATACCGTGTGGCTGGGCAATTTACAATCACTGCGGCAGAGGTAACTTGGAGACTCAAATTTTAATTTTTGTCCAGTTGAACAGATAACCCCAGAAGTTTATGGCCCCGCTGGACACTACTCGATTTTGTGTCTAATTCAGCAATTTTACTCGAACATTTTTTGATAAATCGCCGACAAATACCTAACTTTTCGAACGATCTTTGCATAGCGTTATTTTACTGCTTTCTTCACTAGTGACTTAGTATATTTTCATATACACGTTTAGCCGTCACAATTTTCTAGGCTATACTTTACATGAGGTAAAGAAAAAACTTCCTTTCCAAGTTAGTTTTAAGGTTCTCAAACTTTTGTAACCGCGACCACCTCGGAAGTCGCGCCTAGGACCTCCTTCTGGCCCTGGCAAAACCATAAGAACATCCCGATTACCCACCTCCCTTTCCCAGTGCAAAGAATAGGGTGGCATCGACATTGCCGAAGATAAAGGAGTAAAATAAATAGCTCAGTTGCTTTCCTATCAGCCTCGTTCGCCATCGTGCCTCCGTCTCCCCTGCGCGCACACGACCAGCCATCCTAAGCCAATTCCGGGCCCAGCTCAAATTCTGCCGGACAGCATGGCAGCCAGCAGGGCAGAACATTCGAAAAACAATTCAAGATACCAGAATCTTGGTTTCGTCCCTGGCCCCAATCTCCATGTCCCCCTACGCTTTATCTCAATGACACGGCCCCACTCGGCAAGTGCAAAACTTATTATATTACGGCAAAACACTCCCACCAAGACCACGATCACTCACAGGCGCCATTTCAAGATGCGGCGACGTGACCACAGAGGAAGCTATTGCCGGCGCGGCACGTATTTATCTGCTGCGTCACGCGCCGTGAACGTATGATCAGCGCTTCCCGGAAGAGTACGTGGGGAGATGCGAGGAGGCGCGTAACCTAGGAAACCGGGGGCGTGGCCGGTGAGGGGTGGGGTTTGGTGGCAGTCAGGTGTTCTATCTCGTGGCGTAGTGGTTAGGTGTTACAGCTGCTAAGCAAAAAGTACAGTTCGAATCCACCAGGCGCTCTTTGTAAACTCTATGGGTTGGTTCTACACTGTCCTATAGGGTCGTTATGAGTCGGAATCTACTCACGGCAACGGGTTTGGTTTTTTTTATTTTTAGCAGCGGTAGCTGGAATGATTCGCGGCTTTTGGCTCCTGGCGGCACACGCCGGTTGATCCCGGAGGTTTTAGCAGTTATCACCAGTTATCGGGTGGCCGCTCCCAGATACAGACCCCCGAAGAAAGCAAGACTCATCTCTCACTGATCACTGAATCTTCTTTCCAGTCAGGACAAGACAGTATCCTAGGTTGCTTTGGTATCTCCTCTCTTAGATTGCAGTTGTAATCCTACAGCGAAGTTGTTTCCATATCTGTGTTTTGTCTATGGGCCTTGTTTCCTAAATTAAGGGAAATCAGTGTCTCTGGAAGCCAAAGTAAACTATGACCTCGAAAGAAAAATCTTCCTAAGAGAAAAACACGTAGTAATCACTTCTTGTTACACACTTTGGATGCAATTTATTCTATCTTATCATGGGTTTTAGAGTTAACACCAGATCTCTTGACTTCCATCCAAATTGCTTCCCAGTTAAAATTCAGCAGACATCTGTGGACAGCTAACTATTAATATGTACAAGGAACTTGAGGATTGAGGTGGACTGGTGGTGGTGGTGATGAAAAAACAGTTTTTGACATTGGAGGTATTGTAAGTCAGTGACATGCCTCTCAACATTAGATATCAAGTTTTCTGGAGATCTACCTGGTAGCAGAGAGGAGGGGGAGGGGACTTTTGGTGTTAATTTGGAGTGTGACCAAAGAAAATGATAACCATATGTCCTTTATGACAGCGACTATGGTGGCGCAGTGGTTAAGAGCTTGGGCTGCTAACCAAAGGCGAGCAGTTCTAATCCACCAGCTGCTCCTTGGAAGTCCTATGGGGCAGTTCTACTCTGTCCTGTTGTATCGCTAGGAGTCGGAATCAACCCGAAGGCAATGGGTTTGGTTATCTGGTTTTAGAGTGGTAACTGTATTTTAATGAAGCATACATTATGTAGGGTCTGAATGAAACCAGTTGCCATCAAATTGATTTCCTACTCATGGCTACCTCATGTGTGTCAGAGTAGAACTGTGCTCCACAGGGTTTTCAATGGCTGATTTTTTGGAAGTAGATCACCAGCCCTTTCTTCCAAGGTAACTCTGGATTAATTCCAGCTACCAACCTTTCGGTTAGCAACCAAGTATTTTAACCACTATCGATTTGCACCACCCAGGGACTCCAGAGTTTGAATAGAGATACTGAATTCCGCAAAGAAATTTGTTTCAGCAAGATAGTTGCTTGCCTCAAGAACCACAATAATTTAATTCCTTTTCCAAACATTAAGGAAAAGAAAAAAGCAATTGGTATTTCCTCCTCAAGGGGCTGTCCATGTTGCGGAGCAGAAATGATCCTGTGCTATTGGATATTTTGAAAATAAGTCGTTCATTGAGACACTTTTATTTTATTTCATTTACCTTGTCTTTGGCATCCTTCCGTGTCATGACAACAAACCTTTTAAAAACTATTAAGCCATTTGAACAAAGGGGATACAAAAAATAGCATATGTTTCAAAATAACTAGCAATCTGAAAACAACTAATTAGAAACTATAATGAATAAAAAAAGTATCTTAATTGGAAAAAATGAGAAAAATATTAACCAAAAATATACGGATGGGAAGACTAAATGTTGTAAATAACTCAATTCTTCCAAAACTATAGAGAGAGAGAGAGAGAATATATTAACAAAATGCCAGTCAACACCCCACAGGTACATTTTTAACTTAACAACTGATTCTAAAACAAAAGAAATAATGTGTCTGAAAGAGCCAAGGTAATTTAGAACAATGAGAGGATGTTTGCCTTTCCAGATAACATTAAGGATCCCTGGTGGCATAATGGTTAAGCGCATGACTACTAACTGAAAGGTCGGTGGTTCAAATGCACCAGTTGCTCCACAGGAGAAAAGACCTGGTGATCTGCTCCCAAACAAATTATAGCCTATGTAACCGTATAGGGCAATTCTACCCTGTCCTATAGGGTTGCTATGATTCAGAATCGACTTGACAGCAAACAATATACGGTACATATTTTTATAATATTTTATAAAACTTCAGTCATTGGATCTACATGAAACTGGAGCCTGAATAACAGATCAGATTACAGAAGGGGGATATGGCAGATGAGATTCACAGAGAAATCCCTCCCTACACAGCCACTTAAAAAAACTGGCTAAAATATAGTTTTATAAATAATATATAATGTATGGTTAAGCTGATGGAAAAGTAAAAAAAAAAAAAAGAAATTCAAGGTGGAAATGACAAGCTAATGCTCATACAGGTTTGGGGCTAAAATTAGCTCTGCCCAAATAGAACAACAAAAGTCCCATCCCAACCTAAAAATGTAGTTTAAAGTGATTTTGGATTAGTAATGCAGGTAGGTGCTAGGCAGAAGCAAATGCAAATGCTCTTTGGAAAAATGCGCTTTAAACCGAGGCACAGAGAATTCCTTCATATAAAATTCCAGAAATATGAGCTGACAACATTTTATAAGTCTCTAAATACACAAGAAAACAAGCCACCATGAATGACAAAAATATAAATTCTGACCCACAGAGACTACATATATTGGAATTATAAGATATGGAATATAAAATATATATCTTTAATATGTTAAAGAGCCACACATATTTACAATATGATGAAACCAAAATTGGCCAGAAATTAAAAAAAAAAAGAATAAATTAGAACAGCTAGAAATTAGAAATAGAAAAATTAAAATTAAGAACAGTAATGAATTAAACAGCCAAGTAGACACAGCTGAGGAGAAAATTAGTGAATGGGAGTCTACTCAGAATAAACAGAAAAGCAAAGATATAGAAAATGTAAAAGGTAGATTAAGAGACAAGGAGGTCAGAGTAAGAACATTTCAGTTATTTCAAATGGGAGATCCAGAAGGATATAATAGAGATAATAAGGAAAAGGCAAGATTCAGAGAAGTAATGACTGAATTCTCACATTCAGGAATCCCAGTGAGCCCCAAGCAGGATAATTAAAAAAAAAAAAAAAGTACCTCTAGATGCATTGTCATGAAATTTCAAAACCACAAACAAATTATCTCAAAAGTATCCAGAGAGAATAGACAAGAAATCGAACAACAGGACTTATACTAGCAGCTGACTTCACATCAGGAACAATGGAAGCTATAAGGCAGAGAAATAATATTTTCAAAGTGCTGAGAGAAAGTAATTATCTAGAGCTATAAACTCGGTAAAACTATCTTTCAAGAGTAAAGATGAATTTAAGACACTTTTAGTCAAGAAAACAAAGTTTGATACCAATAGAGCCTTAGTAAAGGAATTCTTAAAGATATGCTTCAGGAGGAAGGAAAACAATCCTGAAGGAAGGCCTATATGTAGGGAGAAATGGGGAGCAAAGAAAATGGCTAAACGTCATGTAAATCTAAATAAACATCAATTATATAAAACAATAGCAGTAATATCTAAATTCTTGGCGTTAGGGTGCTGGTAATGTCCTGTTTCTTGATTGTGGTGATGTTTACGTGAGTGTTTTTGTGAAAATTCATCAAGCTATAAATTTATGATCTGTGCACCTTTCTATATATGTGTTATACTTCAATTTAAAATTATAGTAAAAGGATAGTATAAATTCCTATATGCCAAAATATGACAAATTAGATGAAATAAATTCTTAGAAAAATACTGCTTATCAAAAATTATACAGGAAACAAAATTTGAATAATCCTATATCTTTAAAATAAATTGAATTTGTAATTAACACCTTTCCACAAGGAAAACACCCAGATGGCTTCACCAGTGAATTCTACCAAATACTTGAGGAAGAAATAATGCCAATTGTAACAGATACCTTTTATGCCCAAACTCACATTCGATCATTTTACCTTTTAATCCAAAAGATGGCAGCATTTGTCCACAGTTTCCTGTCCCTCTTTGGCCAGTGGTTTCCTCCAAAAAAACCAAACCAAACCCATTGCCTTGCCATCAGGTTGATTCCGACTCATAGCAACCCTATAGAATAGAGTAGAACTACCCTATAGAGTTTCCAAGGAGCGCCTGGTGGATTCAAACTGCTGACCTTTTGGTTAGCAGCCGTAGCTGTTAACCACTATGCCATCATGAGATGTTAATGCCCTTGCACTTTCACGTTGTACATTTGTGAGTGAGTTTTGGTCCAAGGGTTGCCACAAGTGACCCAGGTCTCGTGTTAGAGAAGCCATGGGGCAGAAAGTGAGAAATACGTGGGAAGGTGTTGTCAGGTTACACTTGTAGGAAACTGTCTGCTGCTCCCCTCTTCTATCTCTTGAGCAGATAGTTCAGAAGTGCATTCTACATGACTACATCAAAGGTCTCAGCAGGGTGAAGCCCCAGTTGTCGCCAGCAGTGACTGACTCAATATTGTACATTTCTATTTGTTTTTGCTTCTTCTCGGTTATCCTCTTCTCAGTTATCCTACTCTGTTACCTAGGATCACTTCCCAAAATAAAGAACCTGCAAGCAAACCCCTGCCTCAGGCTCTGCTTTCTGACAAAGACCTAGACTAAGGTACCAATTTTACATAAATTGTTTCAGATAATAGAAAATGAGGGACGCTCTTCAACTTATTTAATAAGGCCAGCAGTACCTTGATACTAAAACCTGACAAGGGCATTAAGAAAAAGGGAAATTATGGTCCAATCTCATAAATACATATGCTTTAATCACAAGCATATCATTAGCAACCTGTATCTAGTG